CAAAGAATCATGTTTCAGATATATCGCAACAACATTATAAAGAACGAGCCTAAATTCGAAGTCAAATCAGAAAAGGCGACAAGCATATAATCCTACCATTCCAAGCTGATTCCAGTCACCGAGTAAAAACGGAATAGGCATATTCATGTTGTACGGAGACGGATAGGCATTAGGAACCACTGCTGACGGTGCCAAGCCATAGTAGGAGGCTGAAGCAGCATAGGCGGCATCGTCTGGTTCATCGGGTAGATCTGGTTGCCGTACAATCACACTTTGATGCTGTTGTGATTGGGGTTGTTGTTGAGGTTGTTGAGACGGTGGCGGTGGTGGGGGTGCTGGGGTCTGGTAGAACTGCTGATCGGGGCCGTTGGCAAACATGAGTAAGTGAAGATGATTAAGGGATTCGAGTCAGCGAGTGACTGAGCCAGTGACGGGGCCAGTGATTCGGCGTGCCGGCAGCAGCGGCTATGATGTGATAGGGGACCAGGACGTCGACGACGACGACGACAACGACGACGACGACGACGACGCTGACGTTCTTCTTCTACACTTCTGTACGACGACAACGATAACGACCGCGCGTCTAATATCGATAACAATCGCCAATGGATTGATCGCGCACGCTTCACAGTCGGTTACAGTATCCCCCGACGGCGGCCACCATTGCGCCGCCCACACCGTACAGTCGCCCGTTTGTGAAGAGCGACGGCATTGAGAGAGTGCGAATGGTCAGGAGAGTGTCCGAAGAGGATTATCGTGTGGATACGATGATGAGTAGAGGGAAACGCCGCCGACAATCTTTCCGTTAAATATGGCTCACCATGGAAGATACACACAACGGTTAAGGCGTGAATAATCGCTCGTCATCTGTCTCGCCAAGACACGCCACGATGCTGCTGCCAAACTTCTCTAGACCGTTGGCCCACCAATGACACCCGGGTTTCAAATTGAAGAAACGAAATTCGGGGTCAAAATGCCATTGGGAGGCACTGTCCACGTAATCCCCCTGCCCACATAGTTTTAATGACGCAGAAGCCTGGCATTTGCCCTTTGCAAAAATTTCGACAGGGGTGAAAATTCGCGACCGCCTTCTCGAAAAAAAGGACCATTCGTCACGATCGTGATTTCAGAAATAGTTCAGTTATGGACAATGTGCACATCAAAACACCTACTACATCCCCACTTTTTTCATGCCCCATGTAAAAGTTATCTGGCTCCGCCCACATGTCCCCAACCCGTCTAAAATTAGTTCACATTTTCAACGGTCCTTTTTTCTTGGGATGTTGACTTTTTTGGTGCACCCTCTAACATATTGCACGGTGACAGTAATCAAGCCAGGTAGGAATGAAAATGCTCATTAATCCCTCAGAGATTCACCACGACGCCAAAGTGGAGTGTCCAACTGTATGAGCAGTTTTGCGCGCCTATGGGTGAATTACTCGAAATCCTTGGGGTACATCTTAATCGTTTTCTCGACCTATTTTACTTACTCCAACTGTTAGAAGCTACCTATATCGGATGAGGAAGATGAGATCAAAGTCACTTGAGGGATAAGGATTTTTTTTGGAAAAAAACCTCTTATTAAAAATTTAAAAAAACGTCATAATCACCTGAGAAATTAGGAAATTTTTATAGAAAAAATTTCATTTTGAAAATTTGAAAGTTGAAAAAATATTTAGAATAGCCTCATAATGAAACGCACAGAAAACTTGAATTTTCTACCATTTCTC